GCATATACTGCTTTATCAGCACAATTTATTGGCCTGATGACTTTTCTGTGAAGCGGCTCTATAAAGTTCTCATCTCATGTGTTCTAAACCATATAAAAGGTTGAAGGAAATTAAATGGCAAAGCCTGCAGGATCAATAAACACATTGTTTGCCACTGTTCGCTCATCTGCTGAGAGCTGTCCTGCAGGGCTAGCCACAGGGCTAAACCGCTCACATGTATAATGAGTGAGACTTTTTCTAGGTTGTTAAATCCAGAAGACCTGTTTTTGAAAGAGAAAGCACTGACCAAATGTTCTGCTTAATTAAATTTAACATCCATTCATCCCCACGTGAGAAAAAAGGCTTTGACATAATAAAAAAAAAAGAGAGCGGAAAGCAAAAGATGAGAGATCATGAAAATTTACAGCATGATATTTCAGCTCATATTACGCTCTTTGCCTATTACGCTCGCCTTGTTGAGTTGTTACAAAGGTTTTAGCATTAGCGGGTGATTTTAAATCAAGTAAATGCAAAGAAATTGCTTTGTATTCATACAATGATCAGAGGAGTTCTATTTTCTGTGGAAGAAGGCATGCTTGGGATAAGATTTAGAAATCTAATTTTATTGATTCTGATTAATGATAATTGAGTAGGAAGGTGGGCCGTTTTGATTAAAGTGAGCTTGGTCTAGAATGTCATCCAGTAAGAGTAAGGAATTTCCCTCAAGCTAAAAAAACATTATTACAACCCGATTGCGATGAGAGTTAATTCCCTCTGCAATCACAAGACTTTCAATGCATGAGCCACTTCAGAGAAATGAAGTTGTTTTAGAGTTATATTTAATTTGCCTTCAATTAAGGATTCATCTATCAAAGCGAAACCTGTAAATTTGACAAAATGTAGGCTGGGGTAATTTAGTTTATTTGATTTAACGCTTCAAACAGGCTCTCTACAAGATTTCCCAGTTGAAAGCAAGATGCTTTGAGTTCAGTGGAAGTTACTGCTGGGAATGGCCTCAAAACTGTGTGTGTATATATATATATATATATATATATATATATATATATATATATATATATATATATATATATAAATATTTGTATTGGCTAATCCAATCATCTAGAACATCTATAAAGATTCAATTGGTGACAAAAAGGGAAAAAAATATTAATTCACTAAATACATTTAAAAAGAAAGAACTGATAGATAGATAGATAGATAGATAGATAGATAGATAGATAGATAGATAGATAGATAGATAGATAGATAGATAGATAGATAGATAGATAGATAGATTAGTGTATCATAACAATGAAATATATAAAAAAAAATACAATTAAGAATAAATAAAGACAAACAAACAAATAAATAAATAAATAATAGTTGTGGAAATGTGCTTCTAAAAAACATTCCTGATTTTGTTTTGTTTTGTTTTGAATGTGCTTAAACATAGCATTCCTAATATTAGATGTATTCTTTTTTTGTTTTGTTTTTGGTTTCTCACACAAATCACAAATCTTCCCTACCTTGAACACCAATGGATGTTCTATATAACAATTATGAAACAATAAAATCAAGGAAATTATGTAAGCAAACCATATAATGCACTCATACAGCTCATACACAATGAAGTCCATCAGAAAAAGCAATTTAAGACAGATTATAAAATGGAAAGCCAGAAACTGAAGAAGAGATATGATACACATAATAACATGCACTATTCATAAATCTGGCATGAATGGAGAGAACATAAACCCTTGTTGAAAAAGCTCATCACGTCTCAAGTAGAGCAGCATTTGAAATATGGTGATGCAGCATTGTGTTTGGGGATGCTTGTTTACAACAGGGACTGGGAAATTCATTGAGATAGAAGGAAGAATTGATGGATGCAGAAAAAAACCTGGAGGAAATAACGCTGCAGTCCCACGAGTGCATGCACTTGGAAAACGATTCATCTTCCAGCAGAGCAGCCACATACAGCTAAAGTCACTACGGAGTAAAATCAAAGAGGTTAACATCCTATACTGACCCAGTCAAATCCCACACCTCAGTCCAACTGATTGACCTCAGAAATTGTTGTTCATAAATAGTCCCCATCCAATTTACCAAAAGCAATTCTGTCACGACAAAAAAAAAAATATATATATATATATATAACCGGTGAGTAAATGCTACAGATGTTAATCAAAGATAGCTTTCATTATTATTATTGTTATTATTATTATTATTATTATTATTATTATTATTATTATTATTATTATTATTATATAGAGTCTGTAAGCAACCACATAAAAACTGCACCATACAAACAAATAAATACATACATTCAGGTATGATTTTAAATATGTTTCATAATATACAAAAACACAGCTAAAACGAATTGCTCATACAGATGTTCATGTCAAACATCTTCAGGATACAAATCAAATAAACACCCAAGGATTAAACTAAATATATTTAGCATAGATTTGAAATTGTGATTATATTTTTTAAATATATATTTTGAATATTTCAGTCATATATTACACTCTGAATCACATGTGCAATCAGTCCAATAGATGGTCGAGACGTCACGGGCGGGTGACGTAATGACCAGAAAGCTATAAAAGCATGTGCGGTGGAACCGGCGTCAGCTTTCTGTCAGTCAGCAAGCGCTCTGTGTGTTTGTGAGTCTTATTTAGTGTTGTTTGCCCAAAACCAAATAACTCCACTATGTCTAAAGCTCACACAAAGACTAAGCACTCAAAGGGCGAGAGCAAGCCGCATTACAGTCTGTGCATGGCTTGCTTGGGCATACATTGCGTACGATTCGCTCCCGGGAAGGCTCTCTTCGAGGAGGGAGCCTTCGCCAGCGTTCCTCGCTGTGCTGGCAACGCTTCTGCCGAGGTGGAGCGACGGCTGCACTTGTGGGGTTCGCAGATGGATCTGGTGGAGGGAATGGAGACGGGCGAGTCCCTATCTTCTTCCTCACCCACCAGATCCAGCGCCCAATCTCTGAGATCGGAAGCCCGCTCTGTGGTTACTTCCCCCCAGGTAGAGGGCTCGACACTCCGCCTGTCTTCCTCCGAGAAGGTTGACGTGGAGGGCGTCGATGAGGTTTCACCCCCTCAGTCGCCCCAGTATGAGGAACTAGTGGAGGTGGTTACTCGTGCCATGGCCAAGTTGAACATCGATTGGCCCGCCAAGAAACAGGCTGAGCAGCAGAAAAGCAAGTTTGATGAACGCTTTCTGCAGTCGAGGCTGACACCTCCATGCCAGAGCCTGCCTTTTTTCCCCGACCTCCACACCGAGGTGGAACGCCCCTCACGTTCGTCAGGTTCTATGGCCTAGATATGCAAGCTACTCTTCTGTTCTCTCGCCTTAGCTTCCACACTGGGCAGGGATTTGTAAGTCTGGCGGCGTGGGCATTCTCGTTCCCAAAGCGTTTTGACGCAGCTCGAGTTCCTGAAGGGGAACGTCTTCAGGTTACGCATGTAACCATGGTTCCCCCGAAGGGAACGAGATGCTGCGTCTCGGTGCCATACTTCCGGCATCCCTGTGAGCGCTTGCTTCATTCCTAGAAGCTGACGCCGGTTCCACCGCACATGCTTTTATAGCTTCCTAGTCATTACGCGCCCGTGACGTCTCGCCCATCTATTGGACTGATTACACATGTGATTCAGAGCGTGGTCACGCTGAAGGCATTCCCAAAGCGTAACCTGAACTGTCTATAGCTGGACATACTGTTTTTCCACGCAATTCTAAAAACATCCAAGTTCGTTTCTCTCCATTTGCGCTTAAGACTACGATTCTCAAACAGTTTGCAGCTTGAGCTTGAGACTCGAAATGAGCCAATATAGTGCCGGCATATTATGATTGTATGATGAACGTTGCCATCTCATTCAGCGATCCAGTTCCTCCAACAGTACACTGAACTGAGGAAACAGTTCGGACTCAGACCAAAGAACCGATGCGCTGCAAATATGAGCAGTCAATGCATATTTTACACTGGCAGATGCATTCTGAAACATTCATGACAGCATATGAGCCGACACTGCAAACACACACTCTCCTATGCAAAGAGTGTGCGTTCACACTTGTTTTCCTGTGTACAGCAGGAGACGTGCTTGAGGTGGTCTTAAGCATCTTGTGTTCATCGTTGTGTTGCAAGCTATAACCATTTGGTTTCCATCATGTGTTTACTTGAAAGGCAGTGTTTACATCAGGGCAGTTTATCTTATAGCTAATGTTTTTTTTCTCTCTTATGTGCTCACTTCTCTTGTCTAATCATGGACTCGATTCGATGACAGTCCATCAGATAAAACCCCTCAGCCCTGTTTACTCATCCTGGGTAAAAATTCACAAGGGTCCCAGGCAGAATATAAACAGTGGCTCTTACACAAGAGTGCTGGAATGTGTGGTATGACATTGGCCAGACAGAGTTGCTTCTGACCTTACAAAAAAAGACATATTTAGAATTAGCTCATATTTATCACTAACATTAACTGTAATATTTCATCTGAGGCATTTTGAAATACAGAAAGTTATAAGAACTAGAGTGTTACTTTTCGAGTGAATCCGAGTGAACAACCACTGTCAAAAACATGATCAAGTATCGTAATTGGTGGCAATGGATCTATGATCTACTTAGGCTTACAATGCTTTTGGGAAACGCAGCCCAGGTCATATTTCAGCCTAAATAAGGAAGAAAAATAAAATTATGTCGTGCTTTAAAAAAATAATAATAATTGACTATGTTAATTTTAGGAACATTAAGATTTTTTCCATGACATATAAGCACATGTTCTAAATTACCGTGTTCTACAGTCATATTACAGGATTTCTTTTTAAGTATTACAGTAACGTGAATGTAATGACCATCACAGAATAATGAGTAAAACATCAAAACAACAAATATGATAATAAGAAATTGAGGAAATGTGCTTAGCCGTTATTTTATTTTTTTATTTTATCTAGAAATATCTCCTGGACATGTTTTAATGAAATTCTCTCTTTTATTCTGTGAAGCACTTGAGGTTTGAATGAACAATATTCTCTCTTTTTTTTTCTCCTCCATACAGATCGCTGAACTCTACATTGATGACAAGAACTGTATCCTTTTCGATGAAGTATCAGCTCAGCCTCTCACACTAAATTGGGTAATGAACATAAAATAAAAATAAAAATGTATCTGCACAAATATGCATGTAGTGAAACTTCAGTTTGATATGTTATATTGTTTGTGCAAAGACGTGTTGTGTTATCGCAGGGCCTTTTCAGCTGGAGCTTCTTGAGTGTGGTCTTTTTCCTAAGAGGATTTGTGGGCACTTATCGTATGTCAGCTGAAAGAGCATCACAGCTAATTAACCTGCATAGAGCCAGCATGAGCGCCGCTGTCATTATTCATCTACGGACAGCCGTTAACAGCCAGGCTAGTGTTACGTGACATACATTCCCTCTTAAACCCGTGGCCTCTCAATTACTAAAGCATAGAGTTTAAACGGGTCCAAGGCTGGCAGTTTCAGCTCAAACGGGTAATTTACATGACCTAAGCCATTTAACCAAGATCATTCATGACCTCTTTTCCAATTAAAATCCAATTACACGTGAATTAATTTCAACATATTTGTGCTGATCTTAACCAGTATGCTAGTAAATAGTGGTGGCTAGGACTTGGTGATCTCTGTGTATTTACATAAAACCGAAATAATTGATGTAGATTTTATCTTTTAATGGAATAAGCTATTTAATTACATGCAAAACATTACTCTGTTTTATCAGTGCACAACAAGGGACATCAGAATAGGTGATTTGGGGAGCTCCGGATAAATTAAAGATGTGAAATCAAAGGTTAGCAAGGATTTTATCTTGAATGTTCTGCCCTTCCCTTATCCTTTAGGAGAATGTGAACCAGTGCTCATGCATAGCCTCTTTATCAGTAAAAGGAAGAATGATAAACTAAGGTGAAAACCCATATACTTAATTACTATGGCAATTATTGTTTTATGAATAACTTTTTGTTCCATATTGCATCTTATTTTGGCAGAATCGATCACATATATACACAGGAAAAGAGAATTTGATTGCCAAATGACCAACCACAGTCCACTTTAGAAATTTGAAATCAGTGATATACAAATTAACAAAGTGTCACTAAGATTTTTTTCATTAAAAAAACATAAATGCATTACATTGGAAATATTTATGTTAAATTGTAGTAATATTTCACGATATTACTGTTTTTACTGTATTTAAACAAAAACAATCTAAATAAATAAATAAATGCATCTTATCAACCCCACATTTTTGGTTTTGTAAATAGAAAGATTTGATGCTACAAACTTGCTAAATATAGTGTATGTTCTTTCTCCATAGCACTCATTGTAGAGAACAGTGAACTCAGTTATTTCTCAAAACCCACTTAAAAACATATTTTATGACACCAGGCTGTCATATCTCTTCAATTACATGTATGTAAATCAGATGGATTGAGTTCTTTGCTTAAGAAGGAGATGAAAGGAACAAAACATTCATCCTGTACTCATTTTCTGACTGGAAGTCGATACAATAGCTGTGATCATACTGTGATTGACACTTCTGAGCCGGCAAGATCAACGAGGAACACAAATGTAGAAATTGCTTTCACAGGCATGCTGAGATAGATGGATATATACATGCCAAGCAGAAGGACACAGTTACTATATTTATTTGTTGATAAAGTGCTGCATCCATTTTTCCTCTAAAGCACCAGAGCTGGTATAGTGATTATTAATGCACACATCTGCTTTGCAAATGCAATGCATTAAGAAAGATTTCCGAGCACTCTGTATTCCTAAAACTAGCATGCATAACTTAGTTTTAGATGCTGCTCTTTAAAATTGCTGTGCTGCATATCTGAGATTTGAAGCTGCATAATTGACAAATATAATTTAGTCATACTGTATACAGGGAATGCAAAAAATATATATATTTGGACGCTTCAGCCAAAATCAAATATGTGTCAATGTGTTAGGTAATAAAATATTGATATATTCACTAAAAATATTGATATATTCACTATATTCACTAAAAATCACAGAAAGAAGATTTTTCTTTTATAGAGAAAAAAAAAGCTCAGAAAGGGTATTTCATATATAATATTGCATTTCAAATATAAAACTCAATTGAATCTACATATACAATGCTTTCCACAGGATTATTAAAGTTAAACTAGATCTTATACCATAAAAGATATGTTGCTAAAAAATTTAAAATTAATAAAAAGAAATAAAATGAAATATAACGCCTTAAATAAAATATCACAGGAACCTAAATTTTTTTCATATCAACTTCAAATTTGGAACATAACTTCTTTAGACATAAGGCTTTAATTTTATACCAATTTTAGAGTAAAACCTGTTATGTAAAATATTTATTATATATCAAATATAATACAATTATTATAGTGCATTTTCTTTACAGTAAATTGATACTTTAATTTTTTGAAAACATTCCACTTTTGCAATAATCTGCTGATTTTCATCTTTAAAAAGAGACCAACCATAGGTCTGTATTCCAAAGTGTTCATAAATTACAATAATTTAAGTTTGGATAGTGCACTTTCATGCCTATTTAAAAAAATGGGGGGTGACAGTTAAGGGGTTCATGTTGGCTTTTTTTTTTTTTTAAGCATACTTAATATTTGTGGAAATCATGGTAAATTTTTTTCAGGATTCTTTGAAAAATAGAAAATCCAGAAGGACAGCGTTTATTTAAAATAGGAATCTTTACTGTCACTTTTGATATATTTAATGCATTCATTCTGTATATAAGTATTCATTTATTTCATAAATAAATGTAACTGACCCCAAACCTAATGGTAGCAGATATAACCATCATTTTTTGACTTTTTGTTTGTTTGTTAGTTTAATAAAATTAGTAGCTAAAGCATACAGTATTTGTCACGTTTCACATTCTAACAAGAGGTCCAGCTGTACTTTATGATACCAAAATAGAAACATCAGCAAGTTCCTGCCCATACAAATAACAAATCCTGCCTTTATCTAGGTCATTCATGGCTATTTTAAGAACTTTTTCCTTGCTGGTCAGGTTTTTGTAATGACAGTTGTTAAGAGCAAATATTATCTTCTTACACTGAGATTGTAATGGCATGCCTTTGAAAACATTGAACAAACTTTTTAGTCACTATTTATAGAACAGCCACAAGCTTTGTGTCTTTCTACAGAGCTAAAAAGAGAACGTGACACTAACCAATCAAAATATCACACAGGCCTTGAGCTAGAATAGTGATTTTATGTTTGACTGTTTAGGCGATACATTAAAGGTTCAGTGGACACCAGTGTTTTATATTGTCTTATGTGATGCTAACAGCTGAAGAAATCAGGATTTCACTGAGCTTGAGTAATTGGGCGATGTGTGACAAGAGACTATTCCTGGTGACAAGCATGTCTAGTCCTTCACCCGTATAAAATCAGATGGGAAAGCTCTGCAGTTTATTCAGGCGGAGAAGATGTTCTACGAAGTGGCATTGATCGAGCTCACCTCGCTACAGGCCAGCACAGGCAAGTCCACTTTTTATGGATTTACTTAAATGCTTCTTTTATGGTGCTGTTGAGTGGACATGTGACTCTTTGATCAGAATATATCATAATATGTAGACATTTTCATCATAGCTGTATACAATAATGTACTTAGGCAACATCACACAAACAAGACATTCAGAAAAGCAGCATGATTCAGAGAGTTTGTTTTATACATCTGCTTTTATACAGTGGTGCAACAAAGTTAATAGTGAGTAAATCGAGTGTTCTGGCATGAAACTCTAGATGGCACAGTCCGATAGGTCAAACTCAATCTGACATAATGACATCATTATCATATGAAACAGCTGATTGGTTCTTTTTGTATCAGCAGCTTGCTGCTCAACATTCAAATACTTGGCTAGTGCATGCTGTAGCCGTTGCAGTGTGCTTCAGAAACCCTCCACCTTCCCCAGCTCCACCTGTATAGATCTGCTACGGGGTGATTCATGTATGCTATATGTGGTTATTGTATATATGTTATATGTGCAGCAGCAGTATTACTTACATGCTCACAGCAGCATGTTGTGGATGTATTGGCAGAAGCAAGTATCGGTACTTGCTCTGCCGCAGCAGCAGCAGTGTTGCAGATCTGTTCCGCCAAGACCAAACACAGTAACACTGTCATGTACATTGCTATGCCAATCCCTCCAAGAGTTGTCATGACAGAACTTACATTTCTGTTATTTTGTGTATTTTTGCTCAGTCAGTGAAAACGTTCCAAACAACTCATCAACCTAGTAAAACAGTACTGTTCTTTCATTACAGAATGAGTCTGTGTTTATGAACAAATCGGTTCAGTGATTGATTCAATGGCTTACTCATAAAGATAGTAACTGCATTCCAATCGACCGCAAGTACCCTGTGAAGTAGTCTAGAGTTTTCTGCCATCTTAAGCTTGGAATACACTACACGTTTTTTTGCCCCAGTTTTTGCCCGATTTACTTGTCTGGAGAAGTTGACACTAGTTGTTGATTTGAGTTGACAGATTTCATAGAAAATCGCACAATGTACGTACGATGGTCACATACTCCGACCATCATATTTAGCTTCAGACTTCAGGATATTCAGAACAAAGTTTTCAGCCGAATTTAGAACACACATTGTTTTCATTTGTCATGTGTCTCCTAGCAGCAAGGCACACATTTGTGTGTGAGTTTATTGTAATCGGAACAACTTGAAAATCTGGTAGTGTGCAATCCTCAGTCGTGTAGTGTATGATGTCCAGTTTTCCTTTGTCACTATTTACAAAGTCAGTAAGTGTATGCTGCCTAGTGTTTTAAAAATCTGTTCAACGAACAGATAGCCTTTAAGCAAAATTCCAATGAGTAGGGGACATAAATGTTCAGTTTAAAGGGCTCCACAAATGGCATAAAATGGCTCTGTCATTGAGTTAAATTTGTCAGATATGTTTTTCACATGGTTGTTCGCCAGTAAAAAGAGTAGAAAATGTGACAGGTGCAGTGTAGAAATCATGTTTAAAGGGGTAGTTCACCCAAAATGAAAATGTCCCCATGATTTACTCATCCTCGAGCCATCCTAGGTGTATATAAATTTCCTTTATCAGATGAATACAATTGGAGTTATATTAAAAATGCCCTGGCTTTTCCAAGCTTTATAATGGCAGTGACTGGGAGGTTGAGATTTTGAAGCCCAAAAAAGTGTGTCCATCCATGATAAAAAGTGCTCCGCATGGTTCCGGGGGGTTAATAAATGCCTTCTGAAGTGAACTGATGCGTTTGTGTAAGAAAAATATCCTTATTTAAAACTTTACACAGTGGCACTCCAGCGGATGATGTATAGCAGGTGTATCGTAAGCATTATAGCTCAGGTTGCGCAGTTTCTCTATATAACAATGCAGATACATTTATGTACAGAGGTCTGTATAAAGGTGTTTATTGTGTTTAAACTAGTTTGAAGACAATATATTTGGCAGGTTGCTGTGAGTGATAAAAGTAATGAAAAAGCCTTTATATTGAGATGGTTTGGTCATGTTTTATATCAATTATAGTGTAAATTATAACATCAGGTACATTTGGAATACTCCAAATTCATTATCATTAGAATGAAGTTGAGAACAAATGCATGTACTTGCATGCATATGATTAATTAGGCTGCAATATGTAAGCAAGTTTTCCTGTGCAGACGAATACTAAATAATCCACAAAAGTATTAGTGAATGAGACCCAGTAACGTACTGACATATCAATGTAGTCGGCATACTAAAAAGCATCGCTGTCCATTCCTATCCTTAGTTCCTTGACAAAAGTGTGACAATTCGACCTCTGGCAAACATTGGCACAAATTTGCCACAGATTAACCACAAGTTTGCAGCAAATGAATGGCAAAGGTTCAAGCCTTGTTCCACAAACCACTGAAAATTTTCGCAACAAACCTGTCCCCAAGATCCTGTTGGAGAGCAGTAATATATTTAACAAAGGTTCATCTTTATTTGCCCTGAGATGCACCAGTATTTATGGATGAAGGAGACCCATCGATCTCCTTCCATACAGTGGATGTCTGCCATTCTCCTGGCTGTCTGCATGCTGCTGAGGCAGCATAGATCTCTAGCATGGGCAGAGTACAGGAGCCTAAGGAGATATATGACCACGCTATACATTACCTCATTAAAGAGCTGTTGAGTACCCTGGAAACGTTGCCTGATTCAGCGTTTTGGGCCCATGCTGCTTTGATTTCCTCCCTCTGGCCTAAACCATGCTCAGTTCCCATCATGCCCTCAGGATACACCAAACTGAAGATTTCTGTGTATATTCAGTGAAATGGTGTCTGCTGCATTCAACAGATGTATTGGTCTTGTTTGGCTTTGAATACATAAGTGTGTTTCTTAAGGGGCGTTTTGCATTCCATTGCGCTAATTTGCCATTGTTTTTCTATGTAAACATGCACTAGATTAATATATATAATATATAATAAAAATATATATAAAGCTTGCCATTTTACAAATATATATACTGTATATATATATATATATATATATATATATATATATGTTTGTAAAATGGCACAGCTTTTTAAATATCTGAAAGTACACTCTTAACATTAGTCAGTCAAGCATTATAGTATGATAATCAAGTATTATTTAATAATAGAAGTTTAGTAATTAGAATTAAAACTTTGTAACCATGTATGAATGCAAATTAGTCATTTTAACTGAACTTAAGACTGGTGCTGGTGCTTTTTTTGGTCATTCAGTGTCCCTGTAAAAAAATTGGAAAAAACTAACAATAATACTGATAAGATAGTATTATTATTATGCAAATTCTACTTATAAGAACAATATAAAACGCACCAAGGATTAACGAGCTGCTGGATTCATGAATATTAATCAGGTTGTGTGCGTTCGCTCGAACTGATTTGCTGAAATCAATACAGGGACATTAATAGGTGAGCACCCAGCCTCGCATAAAACCATGTCTGCATTTGTGATCGGAGAAATGACAAACAACTAGTGCTACTCTACACTGCTCTAAACTTGCGTTTGAATCATCAGTGGCAAATCCTTTAAATAGCCGGCATTGTAGTCTAGGATCAGGAAACAGTCCTCCATAAAATGTGCTGCACACATCTGAATATTTGGGTTGAACTGTTCTGGAACAGTGTTATAAATACAACTTAACCACTGATTTCTAGTCGTGTCCTCTTTTGGAAGGCCAAACAAAGTAGTTTTGCTTTTACAACAAAATACACGACGGGCTAGAGTGAGCGGAGGCCAGGCTAAAGTGAGCGGCGTTCGGCAGGCTTGCGGCAACCACATGTGACGACCCTGGGCTGGACTCTGCTTCGTCCACAGTGAAAGCCGATCCGGTGATCCACAGCGCAAAGTTGATGTATTTCCTCAGCGACCAGCACGGATCAGCTCTAGGCATGACGAAGCGGATATCGTCCTCTTTTGGAAGGCCAAACAAAGTAGTTTCTCTTTCACAATGAAACACACAGTGTCTTCACGACATGGCGGCAGCGGCAACAATACTACAGCGAGAATAAAAGTTACGCCTTCTTTCTTTGCGTGAACATTTGAGCAGCGTTATGCAAATCTTCCCACATCGTGACGTAGACATGTGGGGTCGTGTTAGAACGAGCCGTTTTAGGTAGGCGTGGCTGAGTCTTAACTTTTATAAAGAATATCTCTTTGGATTTGAGACTTTAGTCTTTGCAACTTTACAGATCTTCTTTATGCACCAAGAGCTTGTAACACTTCAAAGAGAAAGGAAAAATTTAAATCGCATCATATGACCCTTTTAATAAAGTACTAGTGCACCCAAAAATGAATCAGTTACTTGCCCTCATGTCATGGCAAACCCGTGTGACTTTTATTTTTTTTCATGGAACACAAAAGGAGACAAAGATATGACTCAGCAGAACCATTAATTCACGCATCAGACATCACTATTTCTGGGACTCACTGAGTGTTCCAGGGAGAGATAGCGGATGTCATGATTTCAGTAACAATGACGTCAATTTCTGTCTCTTCCTCACACAGAATAATTGTTTGGCTCCAGAAGATTTGGAATTTGCTTTTCTTTTTGTAACTTTAGAGAATTTTGATAGTTGAAGAATGGCCAGTAGAAAACGTCACTTTTTGTGTTCAGTTGAAGAAAGAAAGTCATGCTAGTTCAGAACAACATGAAGATGAAAGAAAATGAGAAAGGAATTGCTCTTTATTAAGCTAGATTTCAGAAAAAAATCAGGTCTTCATTGGTAGTCAGGCAGACAATATAATTGTTTTCTTTGGAATTGTTTTTGAATGGTCAAAGCTGCTGGTTCCAGCTGGTCTTCCTTAGCTTCTGTTTTTCATACGTCTCATTTCCTTGTAAGAGCATTTGAATCTGTGGGTGTGGTGGCAGCGATCGGCCGTCTCTCCTCTCACACCCTCCCTCCCTCTCTGTCTTTTTCACTCTTGTCACAGTCTTGTTGTCTCTGTACGTGTGAGTCTCTGTGAGTGCTGTGAGGTTTCTGACAGACTTTGTGTGAATCAGGGTCTCAGGAAGACGGAACATTGGGAACGTCAGGATGTCTGTCTCAAGAGGAGTTAACAGAACAGGCTTCACAGGCCCAGGATCTTGAGAGACTGGCTCAGCTCTGCATCATGAGCAAAAGGTAGGAGACTAAACTGACTGTGAAAATGATACTGCATATACACAGCATGCTAGATTGATTTTAGCAGACTAATTATGACAAAATTGGCATGCCAAATCTAGTAAGTAAGAGTAATTTCCGTGAAGCATGTGTATTAATAGAGGGAATTTAATGAGCACTAATAGTCTAGTTGCATGACTTCAGAAGATGCATTCTTACACAATTTGGCACAGAATTACATATTTAGTCATTTTATTTGTGCTGACTGTCCACACTTAAATGTCTTGTTTATGTCTCACTCAAGAAATACTTGACTGCTGCTGTAGAAACTTTTCTTTAAATATAAACAAATACAAAAAAAAATTAATCTGCATTTTTGAAGAGTGAATTGTTTCATATGGTAACATTCAACGTAACTGGGTTTTATTAAAGTGAAATATTTTTTAATTATTTTTAAAAATATGGGCAGAATTTCTACCTGATTTGACCCTTTAAGTACTATAAAAAATATTGTAAAGAAAAATATTATAATATAAATATAAGACCTTTTAAATGTAATATAACTTATCTGATTTGAATTGAATTTAACTGAATTATTGAATTATTTAATATTATTTGTTGAATTTGAATGTTATATTGTGTGGGTGTATATATTTTATTTTATATATATTATACTGTACATAAATATATACAGTTTAACATAAATTTCAAATAACATTCCATAGTGTCAGTTATTATAAGCAGATTCTACCTGATTTGACTTTAAAAAAAAATATATATATGGTGCATGTACGTACATATATATATATATATATATATATATGTGTGTGTATATGTGTGTGTGTATTTTTAAGGGTCAAATCAAATAGAAGTTATAAGAAATACAGGTCTGGAAACAACTTCATAACTTTTAGAGTCGTATGATTTGGTTAATGTTATTGGAGTGCAGTTAATATTCTGGGATTTAAATAACATTTTAGTTATGCTGCATTAGGAATCCCCTATTATACTGAGTTAAGTGAGCGCCCATAGGGAGAGAGGAAGAGAAAGGTGACTTGTGTTATGTGAGTCTCAAGGTTTCAAATGTTACTGGGACACTCTGAGTGAGGTGTCCTCTTTCCTCCAGGGGCTTAACATGATGAGGCTCTCTTTTGCAAGGCCACTAGCACATACGCTTGAGGACATGTATGACCCCCATTTGGCACTGGTTGGGGACTTAAAGCATTTAACCTGATTGTCCCAGGCTAGGAGACAGCTTGCTGGTTCCGCAAAAGAGAGGATGACATTAAACTTGAATGAGAACGAGATTGTTTTATTGCTGCCCCAATAAGATAATGTTTCACAGGACAATGAATTGTGGGGGTATCCACACCATTTGTATGTAATCTCTTAAACTCTTTGGGTTGAGTAACTGTTGAAACCTGAACAGAGTAGATCTTCAAGATCTACTGGTCAACTAGGACAGCCGTCATGGTTGAAGTTGTAGGTATTTCAGCTTAAAAACACCCAAAATACTAAGCCAGCTCACATAACCTCATTATGTCTCCAATTATGAAGTAATATCATCTAAAGGGTCAATGTCATGACACTTATTTATTGACCTGTTAGTTGGACCACATGACTTTGTTAGTAAGAAATCATATTCATATTTAGAGGGGTATAAAGCTAAAAAAGTGTCCTAACAAAACAGTTCTGATCAACTGTTCTGATATCATAATGAAGAAATAAATACTAAAATAAATAAATAAATAATAGAATGAAATTCTTGAACAGAAAACCTTATGAAGTGTTTTGGCATAATAATGTTACGATTATTTCTTAGAATAATGAAACAATCAATAACAAATAAATACCCTCATTACTTGTAGGTCAGTAAGTAAGTCTCTATAAATAGTATTAAAACATGACAATTCTCTTACAATTTTTAGTTCAGGTTGTAAAATGTCATGTGGTGTGACTCTCCAAATATGTAAGGATAATTATGCTACATGGTACATGTATTCGTACCGAAAATATTTGGTACAAGTCGTTCGGTTCGGTACGCATGTGTACCAAACAAATTATTAAATTTTTTCAGGAAATTCAAACAATAAATGCAAAAATTGTTGACGCTCTTTGATGTGGCACAGCATCAATCGCTGTATAAATGCACAGATCGCTGTATAAATGCCTCAGCTCTAACGGCAGCATGGAGCGCGATCATCCCTTCCTCTTTACTACTACTTTTACAATAAATAAACATGAATGAATAAATCATGCCTCGCTTAATCAGTGTTTCAGTTGCGGAAAGACGCCATTAAAACAGCTTGCAAACAAAATGTCTCGCAGCATTGCATTTCATTCGCATTTCTAGACAATGAAGTCTAGAGAAGAGCATTTTGAGAAATATTAAACTAGATAGCCTACATATATTAGATTATATTTTACTTTACCTGTTAGTGATGTGATGTCTTGATTATTTAATGTATGTTTTAAATAAATATTTTATGACACAAGTTATGACAGTAAATTATTATATTTCAACAACAAATAGAAATTGTATCTTATAATTTAGAAGTTAATTTAAAAACTGCATCATATGCCATTTACATCTTTGCATACAAATTTTTTATTTGAGTGTTCATTATTATAGTTAAAAATAAATAGTAATTGAATTTAAGTTTGGGCTCTGTTGTTAATTGCAACCTTATACAGTAGTAATGTAAAAGGGCTTCTTATAGTTTAAAGGAGAAGCTGAGATAGATTTTTACCTGTAAGAACATTTTAATTATTGAATTTAGTTTTTTTTACCTCCTGTACCGAAACCATACCAAACCGTAACGTACGTACCAAACATTCATGTTTGTGTAACGTTACACCCCTAATGTTTGTCTGTGTATATATATATATATATATATAAACAAACTAGAACTTTTTTTTATTGTGGACAGTAAACACTGTTACATCATTGACTCTTAAATCAATACATCATGTGCTTTTTTTGTCCTAATAACTCAAAATGTGGTTGTATTTATTTTCAAGGTAACAAATACATTTACTTTTAAAGGTCTGTTAATTATGACACAAAATGCAGCTCAAGCCCTATGGAGTGAATAGGAAGTGGCTCTGCCTTTTGAATCTTTCAGTGTCGGGGCAGGAAGTGCTCTTGTAGCTGTGAGCTTTGCCATGTTGTGTCTGATCAAATGTCCTCTGAGGACAATCCAAAACAGTGCAAACCAACACCTAGTCATTATTAATTAATGCAGAGCCATAATAACCATGCTGACATATGTATTGGCTTTGAAAACATGCTTTGGACATTCAAGAGAGAAGTATGGAAGAGTATAAAAACATGACATTCAGAACATTAAGAATATGTGAATGATTCAATATTAAATTCCCTTTCTATATCCAAAAAAAGCTAAATAATGTACAATACAAGTAATTTTACCAAACAATAATGATGCAATCAAGATCATGTAGTGCTAAATGATCAAATGAGGAACAATTTCCATCCCAAATCCCTAGGAAATTTCTCAATATACACCCTGAGGGTAAACTCTTCACACACATGCCAGGAGTTCCAGCCAAAAAGGAGCGCGTACCATATCTCTGGCACGAGCTCCAGTAGGAATCACAGCACACGTGTTCCAGGATTTGTTGTGACGGGTGCTGTAATGGATCCGTATGCCTCAGAGAGCCTGACTGAGGTGGGCTATTGCTGTGGCTTTCTGTGTCTGTGCTTAAATAAAGCAAAGGTGCAGGCTAGTGGGATCAAATGGAGCTTAATGCCTATGTGCTCTACTTTTTTTAAACAACCACTTCCCGATACTATTTGTAAATGTGTTAAAAAATATATATATACTTTGAAGAACAGAATCTACATGGATAAAATATGCTATAGACTGTGAGTCACAGAGGATTTAGATAAAGGATGCACATTGTTTGCACATCTTCGGTGCCGGCGTAGGTCTTCATGCATGTCTCTGTTATTTAAATTTGTCTGTATTTGCTTTATACATAGCCTAGGGCTTCTGTAACAGATGCTCAAATGTACTGAACCCTATGAGTCATGTGTTTACCATGTGATGACTTACAGGAAGAGGGCATAATTACTCCTCATGCTATTTATATAGCATGCATTATATACTCCACACAGTCCATTTGACTTTTAGCATTCTTTAAAAAAATACTTATTATGGGAATACTGTACTTTAAACAAATAATCTAATGTTTTCAGATACTTACAGTGCTGCCTGTTAATTGCAATGAAATATAGTATTATAAATTAAATTTAGATTAAATGCAATTAGCTGAATTGCGTTTTTTATAATTGTGCAATTTTATAATTACTTCTATTTTGAAACATGGTTAAACTGCTGAAAGTATTGACTGGCATTTGTGGTAAACTAAGATATAGGCCTCCTTTAATCTAATTTTTCTTGGAACTTGTATGTCATGTATTTACAGTAAGGTCTAACTTTTTCTTGGAAATGGCATAAAGGTTTTTTTGTTGTTGTTGTTGTTGTTTTTACAAAATTATAAAAGTTTTCTAAGGCCTTTGAAAAACAAACTAGAACTTTTTTTTATTGTGGACAGTAAACACTGTTACATCATTGACTCTTAAATCAATATATCATGTGCTTTTTTTGTCCTAATAACTCAAAATGTGGTTGTATTTATTTTCAAGGTAACAAATACATTTACTTTTAAAGGTCTGTTAATTATGACACAAAATGCAGCTCAAGCCCTATGGAGTGAATAGGAAGTGGCTCTGCCTTTTGAATCTTTCAGTGTCGGGGCAGGAAGTGCTCTTGTAGCTGAGAGCTTTGCCATGTTGTGTCTGATCAAATGTCCTCTGAGGACAATCCAAAACAGTGCAAACCAACACCTAATCATTATTAATTAATGCAGAGCCATAATAACCATGCTGACATATGTATTGGCTTTGAAAACATGCTTTGGACATTCAAGAGAGAAGTATGGAAGAGTATAAAAACATGACATTCAGAACATTAAGAATATGTGAATGATTCAATATT